ACTAAAGAAAGTCAAACCGAAACCAAACCAACCCGACATTATATATATAGAAGTTTTAGATATATTTAATATATAAATATATTTATTGTGATGTAATTTATAAATATTTCTTAAAAAATTTCATAATTTTATCTTTTAAGGTATTATTTTAATGTTGGACTTAGAACTTTTGACTATTCCAATAAGTTTTATAGCCATTAATATTAGTAAATTAAATAATGCTAACAAAAGCCCAAACCAAAATCAAATCAATACTAATGCTAACAAAAAATATTTAATTCAATAGTCAATACTACGAACGAGAATGTATTGAATATTTATTTTTTGTTTTGCAATAATTTATATAAAAATATATAACCTATTTTTATCTTTTCTTTAGCGTTTAGTCATGTAATTAATACTTTCTTATTAGTCTACTTACTTTAGTATAACTTAGCACTTTTAGATTATATTTATTTTTATTATGGTTTTTTAATTAGCAATATTCTTATTACATAATTTTATTGTCTTTATCGTTGAATATTTTAGGATAATGCCATAACACATCTCATATTTTGTATTATTTTATTGGAAAATACTTTATACAATTGTATCTTACAAGGATTAAAGAAATATTTGAGTACAAGTTATATGTTTTGTTCTACGAAAATTTTACCGGAAAAAAACTCTGAAAAACCCAAAAACCCGAGAAAAACCGAGATTGAAAATCCGACTTTTATTGGTTTGGTTTAGTCTTTAGATTTAGTAACCCGACACAATTGGTTTGGTTTGGTAATCGTAAAATCCGAACCAACCCGACCTATGTACACCCCTAATCGCCATCACGACTTCCGAAGGTGGGAAATCTGGATCGTGACATTATTGTAAAGAAATTATTGAGTAGAAGTGGAAATTACAGACCACATCAAATTTCTCGAGCCTAAGAGAAGTGTCAACGTCAAGAATTACAATAGAGTTCCAAAACTGAGAAGTAAACTATAGGGAAGACATGAGACTTGGAATGATCCAAATTAAAGCACTCCATTATCATTACATCACAAACAGAGGATTATGATTGTTATAAACACTACATCATTTATCTATCTTCCTCTTCTTCACAAACAAAATAAATGTCTATAGCCCAAAATTAACACAACGAAACGCGAAAAGTGAACAAAACCATAAAACTTAAATCACCCAAACTTGATCATCAATTTTCTGACAAGGATATCAAAATCAAAACTTACTTACTGGTAATTATCAGTCCAACTTTTACTATAAAAACAGAAATAAGAAATTACCACTTCATTGCTCTTGTATATTCAAATCGAAAGAATCTTTAATTTGAAGAAGGTCCTCCCAAATTATAATTATAATAGTGAAGAGGAAGCGCTCCAAATTGGTGCAAAACATCATGAGAAGAATTGGCCAAATCATCAGCTCTTTTCAATAAATTGTTCTTCAATACTTCCATGGAAGCCATGCATTCTTGGAGTTCTTGCAACCCTAAATTGTCCAAAGACAAATCTTCCCACCAATTATTAGTCCCACTATCACCAACACTCACAGCTTTCTCCTTGTCCAAAATTCCCATTGCTTCCAAATACTTCTTCTTACTTTCTTCTTCAATTTGAAGCCTAAGAGCGGCACTAAACCCGTCTTCATCATGCCCTCCTGTTTCGTAGCGATTGATAACAGAGTCCACACAAGGGTTTCCAAAGGAATAGACTTTACCAGCAGGAGATTCAACAATGACAGCAACTTCAGCGCCGCACAATGCGCTCAGTTCGCTCGCTTTCTTGAACACCCCCGCCCGCCGCTTCGAGAACGTCACTTGTAAACTGTTTCTGTTTGCTATTTTCTCTATTCTGATCTTTTGCCGTCCTTTGCTCCTTTTCTTGATTTCCTTTTCCCAATCCTCATTCTCATTCTTCTTCTCCATTCTTGTTTCTGTTACTCACCGGGATCTTCTAATTTGCTTTTCTTGGAGACTTGGTTTTTTGAGACTAAATATAGAACGATTAATCATAGAAAGGAGAAGAACAATTATAGGAGAAAGTAATTTTACTTCATTAAATTTGGTAACCAAATCTTCCCTACAGCGTGGCGATATGGCATCGCTGACTCATTGACTGGTGCTTTGACCGCTAGGAAAGTAATTAATTCAACACGGATTTAACCTGTGCCGCACCATCAACACTAGTATAATTTAACTTATCAATAAATATTTACTATTAAATAATATTACTTATAATTACCTTTTAAATATTATAATTATGTAAATATTTTTTACCAGTATCCATTTTTGTGCCATTAATATTATCACTTCAACCGTCATCATTAACCTTGAAACACACCCTTGCATTAACGAAATAAATGTTTAAGTAACAAATATAAATAAAGCTATTTGACGCATGATGTTTGGCTAAAAATTCATGTTTTTATATATGAATTGCCTTATATTTTTGCCATATTCTTGTTAATTCTAACGTGTTATGTGACGACTTGAGCTTAGTTATGATGCTTATACTCGTAGGAGTCAATTGAGAGTGAGTTGGAATGAATGAATGCGAGTTGAAGCCAAAACGGAAGAATTTTGAGGAAGTATGAATTTAGCGTCCAGCGAGCCAAGCCCATCCTAAAACGCCAAAGGCAGTAGAGCACAAAGTGGAGAAAAAACTCGGTGTCCAGTTGGGCGACTGGCGCTAGCAAAAACGCGGCAATTTTGGGAACCTTTTTATTGCGACTCGGAGAAGGCTATTTCATAACTACACGTCCCTAACAAGTATGAAAGGGTTTCTAAACCTATTTTGAGGGGTTGAACATTATTTGGAAGCTAGAGCGCCGTATGGAGCAATTTGGGAGGAGAAATTATAGAGTTCTTCATTCATTCATCTTTTCTTTGTAATTTATTCATACAAAACACTTGTGTGATTGTTACTATAATTATGAGTGCCTAAGCATTCTATTTTCTAGGGTTGTGGTTGTCATGAATAATGACGTTTATTAATTACATTACCGTTAATTCGAGTTATCTTCTTTGGTTATTTCTCTAATTCTGTGTATAATTGCTTGATTGTTTGGCCAGAGGACTATCTATGTTATGCTTGAGAAAGCCGTGTTTAGATTAGAGTAGAATTAGAGACAGCTTGTTTCTTAACCCGTGGCTCGGAGAAGGATTTCGCTAGTAGTCTAAGAATATACCTAGTAGTCTAAGAATATACCTATTATATTCATTCATGATAGATTCAATACAATAAGAATATAGGATTGATACATTGTAGATAGACATATAGTACTGTGAGAATATACAATTTATAGAAATGATCCGGTCAGATAGCAATCATAGATAATTCGGAGTAAGAGGTGTAATTATAAACTAAATAGAATTGAAAAACCGACAACAACCCTGGATTCATCATCTCATGTGATTACAGTCCAACCATAAATTCTTGCATTCTTGTTATTTAACTATTTAGTTATTTAATTTTCACAACAGTGGATTAGTAGGAATAAACATTACTTTTGATTAATTTGGACAGTCAGCCGATTTAGTTATCTTAGTTAACAATTAGTCTAAGTCTCTGTGGGTTCGATATCCGACTTTCGAGTCTCATTATTACTTGAAGGCCACGTATACTTGCATGTATTTGGGAAACTAATAAGTTTTTGATGCCGTTGTCGGGACTTAAAATTGATTATTTATCTATATTAAGCTTTTATTTGATTTCTGATCAAGATTTAAATTTTCTTATTTAGTTAGTATTACATATTTTTTTTACATGGCATCTTTGAACAAAAATGGTGGAATGGTAAGCATTCTTGTTCTGTGATCCTTGTTCAAATTGTAGAGGATGTCAATTTTGCTGAAGGTCTCTCAACTTGGGAGTTTTACCATTAAATAGAATGAATCCTGATTTTACATCCCTAAAGATTTGCTATTTCTATACCTAAATATCGGTTATTCTTAACTATAAATCCCTGAATATATGCTATTCATTATCCTTCAATATCTTCTATCTCTAACTATGGAAAGCTATTTACACAAATCTGTATTACGATGCTATTTACAAATATTCTGATATCCATAATATTAAGTAATGATTTGTCCATCATGCTAACATGCCCTCTCAAATTGATGTTGGTGAATGAAGGAGCTTCAATTTGCCTACTAGAAACTGATAACATTGTCGTGCCATGGATTTTGTGAACACATCAGCTATTTGAAGATCACTGGACACATGTGGGAGAATAATGACTCCTTTATCTACAGCTTCTCGGAGAGAATGACATCGACTTTGATATGTTTGGTCCTTTCATAATAAACCGGATTGATAGCAATCTGAATGACACTAGTGTTGTCAGCATGAAAAGGAACATGATTAGATTGAGAAATGCAATCTCTGCAAGCAAACCACAAATCCAAACAATCTCGGAGCAAGCAGTATAATGGCTCGATGTTCAGATACAATTGAGGATTTGGAAACACAGTCTTGCTTCTTGCTCTTCTAAGAAATCAAAAGGAATCTCCAAGAAACATGCACCAACCTGTGACGGAACGACCAGTATCAGGACATCCAGCTCAATCAGAATCACTAAAAACAATAAGTCGAATAGGAGAACCACTAGGAAATAATAATGTATGAGTGGAATTCCTAATATAAATTGAATGATGCAATGAATAACTACCAAATATAGACGATGAGGAGACTTCATGAATTGACTGATTTGTTGAACTGCAAAAGAGATATCAGGTCGGGTAATAGCATGATAATTTAGGCTCCCAACTAATTGCTGAAACAAAGTTGGAGCAGAAAGAAAATCTCCTTCCTCACGACAATATTTTACATTCAATTCCATTGGAGTATTTACAAAGGAAGATTCTTGAAAACCAACCAAAGCAATCAAATCTTGAGTATATTTGTGCTGGTTGAGGAACACACCTAAAGAATCATGATAAACTTCTAATCCCAAGAAGTATGTAAGAGTACCAAGATCTTTCATATGAAAAGAATCCTTAAGTTGCTGTTGGAGGCTAGTGATTAACAAAGAATCACTTCATGAGATAATAATATTATCTACTTATACCAAAAAAATAACACAACTAGTAGATTCTCTCCGAAGAAACAAAGATGGGTTATATTTGCTATGTTCAAAAAAGAAATGAAGCAAAGTAGTCTGAAACTTGTCAAATCAAGCTCTGGGAGATTTTTTTAATCCATCCAAAAACCGTTTCAAATTGCATACATCTGATGTAGGTGATGAGAACAAACTGGGTGGAGGCTTCATATAATTATCTTCTTTGGGATCACCATGGATACACGCATTTTTAACATCCATTTGATGAATATTCCAACTTTGTAAAGAAGCAATGGCAATAATAGTTCGCATTATGGTCATTTTTTCTACCGATGTAAAAGTCTCCTCATAATCCACACCATACCCCTGTTTGTTACCAAGGATAACCAATCGAGCTTTATACCGATAAAGAGTTCTATCATAATGAAGTTTAATTGAGTAGGATAATTTTCATCCAATTGGGCAGACATTTGAAGGACAAGGAACAATATCTTATGTATTATTTTCTTTAAGAGCCAAAAGTTCTTTCTTCATCACTTTCTACTAGCATTCAAGCTTGGATGCTTGTGAGTAATATGTTGGAACAAAGATGATGGATAAAGTAGATGAAAAATCATACCAATTAGGAGTCCGAAAACCTTGTATATCGCTGACTAGGCTCAATAGAAGCATGCCTTGAAGAAATCTCAAGTTCCAGTTCAGAAGCAGTCTTAGGTGGCAGATCAGTTTCGGGATGGGGTAAAGTTGGCCGGTGTCATCGTTCATACAAAAATCCAAGTTTGAACCAATTAGAAGAAGTTGACAAATCTTCAAAAATTAGGAGACTAGGAGAAACAGAAGATGATTCAACATGAGTAGGAAAGAAATATTAATTCTCAAAGAAAACAATATCTAGAAACTAGAAATTTATTAGAACTTGGATCATAAAAATAAAACCTTTATCTGAATTAATATAGCCTATAAAAGCACATATAGTAGACTTAATAGAAAGTTTATTGCGTTGATAAGGAGGTAGCCTGTAGAAAACAAACACAATCAAATATATGAAAATTGTGATAGCTAGAATTTTGGTGATAAAGATAATAATATGGAGATTCAAGATTTAACACTTGAGATGGCAGTCTATTAATAAAATAGACAACAATAGATAAATCTTCAACCCAATATTTAGAAGGACAAAGGACTCAATCAATTTAGTATGAGTGACATCTAAAAGAGGATGGTTTTTACGCTCAGCGACCCCATTTACCTGTAGCGTATATGGACTAGAGCGTTGCGCGATGATTCCTTGCTCAAGAAATAAATTATTGAACTCGTGAGACATATATTCTCCACCAGAATCAAATCTTAATATTTTGATGCAGGTAAAAAAATTGAGTCTCAATGTAAGCTAAAAATCTTTTGAATGTGGAAAGTACATCAGATTTGGAAGGAAAACAAATACTCTTATGTAAACATACTATAATAATCTATGAATGTCACGAAGTACTTGAAATTAGCATGAGATATAATTGGTGAAATGTCCAAAATATCACTATAAATGGCATCGAAATGCTTCGCAGCATGACTACCAAAACTAAAAAAAGAAAGAGTTTTACTTTTGCCTAATTTACAAGTAGAACAATCAAAGAAAATATTCGAAAATTTATTTTTATTTCCCAATAAATCAGAATTTGATAAATGAGACAACACAACAGAATTTCAATGTCCTAAACACTTATGCCAAACTTCAGTCTTACTAGCTATAAACGTACAAGCAAAAGATAGAGCACGAGGAATGAAAAAGTGTATAGGAATCAATCTTCCAACTTTAGGCCCCTTCGTGATTATCATCCCCGACACCTGATCCTGCACAATGTAACC